AATTTGATCCTTGATCAGATTGAATTTCTTTGGGTAAACCAACAAAGTAAAGAAATTGATCAAAGCTTTAGACATTTTTTGGGCTGAAATGTTTCTCAAAGAGATAGCTTCAGGGAATCGAGTGGATGCGCACATGATAGTTAACAAATACTGATTCCCCGATCGAGTATTTGGTAAAGGTCCAACATAATCAACAATCACACGACTGAAGTGTTCTTCGAATACTGGGATAGGTTTCAAAGGTGTAACAAGAATTTTCTTGTTAGGATTTCAGACCAAATGACAGGTATGACAAGGTTTGCAAAACTGAGAAACGTCTTACCTAATTTTTGGCCAAAAGAAATGTTTCATGATTTTGTCACATGTTTTGTTGACACCTAAATGACCTCCCATGGAGAGTTCATGGAAACTTTCAATATTTCAGATGATATGTTTTGGGAACAACAATTTGATAAACAATAGCCCAGTCCTTTAAAGCTGATACATCTGGTGGTCTCCGTTTCGTCATAAGCACACAATTTTTGAAAAATAACCATTTGTAACTTTTTCCAGTTCATATTTTGGGAGTGCATATTTAAATAATGAAGAGATCTGCAGATCTTTCTCTTGCTCAGCTATCAGTTTACTTTTAGTAAATGGAACTTCACCAGGTGAATCAAATCCCTCACGTCCATCGTTGTTACTCACCAAAGTATTGGCAGTAGGATGATCATCCAAAAGACCCTTGTCAGATCCAAGAAATGTCTGTAACAAATTTATAATATAGTCTTCTGAATCCATGTCTATGATTTGTTTTTGGTTTAATTTCTTAGCCTGAGCTCGAGTCACAGCACACAAGGGAAACACATCGGGATTCTCCTCAACGACAACATCATCCTTGGATGAAACAGTGATCGGCTCGTTAACCATTTTAGGTTCGGTAACAACTTTCCCCCCAGCCAAATCGTTTCGCAACAATAATGATACACCTTTAATTGACAGAGTAGGTCTTACTCCAACCACAACTGGCCCCGAAACTAGGTCTGACGCTAAATAAATGTTATGAAGAGGAACATTAACAAAGCCACCCTCAATACCCTGAGCAATAACAGACTCACCTGTGGCAGAACTCGAATCTAAAGGGAATATACCTTCTAACGACAATGATGAGTCACCCCAGTATCACGTAGAATACGTATGGGTATGGGATTGCCAGTGTCATTTGTCAAAGACACGGAACCAACAGACACAAAAGGTCTAAATTCCTCCCTGATTACATCAGCCTTTATATCAGTGGCCATATCAACAACATCAGGTGATATGGTGAAACCACGTCCATACGTGGACACAAGTGCACTGGGTGTTGCCTCCTTTTCTTTTTCAAACACCAACAATCGGACATAACATGACCAGTTTTTTTACAAAAATGGCAGACAGGTCTTGATTGTTTTAAAGAAGTTTTATCCTGACTTTCAAAAAAATTCGAACTAGAGGAGCTGGATTTTTTAGAAGAATCCTCAACTTTAGTGGAATGAACAGATAAGGATTTTTGTTGAGATAATAGAATAATGTATTCATCGGAAAGAGTAGCTGCTTCCTGTAGTATTTCAACTTTCTTTTCATCGACGTAAGTTTTGAGGTCGTCACGTGCTTTAACCTTATTATAATTCATAGAATCTTCTAAAGAGAGAGCGGCATAAACTTCTTGTGCTTTACCAGTTAAAATACTTTGTAATAATAATAATAACCATTTTTCGGTGGGCCATTCCGTGGTTTGGGCAACCTTCTTAAATGGAAATATTTATCAACTTCATTTTCATTGAACGGTGGTACTTTAACATATCCATTATGTTTAAAGCTGTCATTTTGCCTTGGTCGATCAGTGTTGAGTCTAATTTCCATTTCTTTCAACCTAATTTATTTTTCGGCTTCAATACGAGCTTGTTCTTTCTCTTTCTTGGCTTCAATACGAGCTTGTTCGAACTCGAGTTGTTTAAGTTTTAGCTGGAACTCTAATTTATCTTTATCACTCAACCCCGATTGGCTAGTAGAGACTCTAAAGTATTCATCTAATGCTTCCCCAGGCAACAAATCATCATCTACTAGTATTTCGACAATGCACTTTTTTAGTTCATTTTTTCTCATTGATCTTTTAACTTCTAGTTCTAAAACTTTGACAATTTTGAGCATTCCATTTTTGTTATATTTTTCTAGTTGTTCTAGGGAGGGTGATACAAGAAAATCTTGATGATCAGACATGATCAAATCTTGTTGGCACTGATAAATGTAAATTCAATTGTGATTTAAATTTTAATTTAGATCGAATTTTGTTTCTGATTCAAATCCCGGACGAGCCCCCAATTTATTATGTTGCGTATTAGAATTTCCAATGGTCTGAAACCGAGCGAAATGATACTATAAATTTAGTAGTTAAATTGTAATTTAGATTTAGTAGTTAAATTGAAGCCGATATTTAGTCAATTTATGATATTTACCAACAAGATTCATACACACAGTTTTCTTTCTTAACACAAATACGTTTTAATATACACACAACAATACAATTTATAATAAC